GAGGGAGGGAGGAAGGAAGGGAGGAAGGAAGGAAGGGAGAGAGGGAGGGAGGGTGGGAGGGAGGGAGGGAGAAAATCAACACTAGAAAATGAGGCACTAGGGGCTGGGAAGGTGGCTCAGTGGTAGAGTGCTTGTCTTGCATGCATGAGGCCCTGGGTTCGATTCCTTAGCACCACATAAGCTCAAAGAAAAAAGCCGGAAAATGAGGCACTAGAAATCTCAGCTTCTTGTGTCTCACAGGCAAAACAGTATTCGTGTTTATGAGCCAGCTCTATCTTCTCAGTTTACTCTATGGGGCTGTTACTCAGAGATCACAGGGTCATTTCCCTCAAGTAGTTTACAATGAAATTGCACTTCTCTTGATAATTGGCACTTTTTAAGAAGCAAAAGTTCACTGAGTAATAAGGTCATGATGTTTTTCCATGTACTTCATGGTATTATATCAGTAAGTCTCTTCGCAGTATAAGGTTCTTTATCAAAAATAAATACATCATCATCATTTGTGATAACATGCATTTGTACACACTCCACAAAGGATTTTCTTACAATGGAGACTTATATGTGATGAAATTTCCAGCACATATTTTTTCATATTTTACAAGTAAATGCTCCTATTATATTGACATTCAAATTGTATCATTTACACTGCCCTTATTTCCCAAAGAGAAACTAAAATCCTTGTGAGTGCATGTTTTAATAGATGGTTTACAGAATGCAATCTTTCCTTTCATATAGTTTAGTTAGTTTCAAAAATTCATAGTGAATGAAGCACACTATATGAGTATAAGTTATAGATAGGTAGTCATCAAAATTATTTTTTCTATCTCTATCTAGTTAACGTTAATGAGCATCCAGGTTACTTAGACTTAGCAAATCTTAAAGCTGGAAATGGATCTTGAAAGCCACCTGAAAATATGTGAAAATTAATGAGTAGAAATCAAGTTCAGAACTGACAATAGAGACTCCCCTAGTTTTCTAAATCAAGGGAAAAGGGGAAGACAATTTCATTTTCTGGAGATGTGTTGATCATAGTGTCCTATAGGTGAAAGTTTCTGTTATGTCACCATATGTCAATCCATCTAATGGGAAATGAAGCAGAAAATCCACATTGCATCAAGGTACATATTGACTGAGATAGAAGGGCTCGGCATCATTAATCACAAATAGAACACTACATTGAAAATGTTTTCTAAAATAAAACGTGCTTATAAAATAAAACCTAGAGCACTGTCTTCACTTGCAGAAGATTCTCACTATACTATCTGCTAACAATGAATAATGCTGAGCTTGTCAGCTCGGCTATGAACACAAAGACCTTCCGCACTTACCCCCATTAATCACATATGTGACCAGATGTGCCCTGCTGAGTTGCACAAATAAATCCCAAATACTTCCCCCCCAACTAAAGAATGTGGCTTGAGAGTTACAGATCCAAACTATCTTATGAAAAAATAGGAAGAATAGCCAGAGAAATGTGTTAAGGGAAAAGTACTTGGGATAGATAATCTCCTGTATTTTTTTTGTTTTATTCATGAGGGTGGTTTTCATAAGTACAGCCCAAAAAATAATTCAACTCTAATACTGTTGATGATGACACTGGGCAGCAAGTAGGATATTCAGCCTAAGGAATGCTGTCTCCTAGCAACCAGAGGAGCAAGAACCGGACAGATACAAAGGATCCTTCAAAAGTTTGCAACCCCTCAAGTTCAAAGATCAAAGCCCTAAAATTTAGAAATGTATTCCTTTGGTAAATTCTTCAAAGGATAAAAAATGTACTTTCTTCAATATAAAACACCATAAGCCCTCATCTCCTCACTAACCATGTTACTGCAGAGCTGGTTGTAACTCAATTCAAAACACAAAAACACTTTTCTTGAAGAAAAAATAAACAAAAACAAAAACTTGATCTCAACGAAACACTACCTACTGTTAAGTTTCTTTAAACAGTTAAAACTCAGTAGACCTGGAATTGGAACTCAGAGTTATTAGGGCTTTACTGTTGATTTTAATTCTACTTTTATTCAAGAAAAACAGAGAGGTTAGTGGGATGATACAAGTAGGTTGTTCAGAATTGCATAGTCCAATCCGTTCAAGGAAGCTCTGCTACATATACTCAGCAATTAGGTTTCATAAAAGAGATTGTGAACTGACACAAAGAGAAACTTACAACTCTAGTAGTTACTAAACAGAGGAAAGAGGTTGAGAGAAGAAATCATATGGTCTGTTTTTAGTTTTAAAGAATACAATGACTTTAGGCATTTTTGGACTGCACACACATTCACTAAAATAAACACAGCAGTCATGATTATCCCATTGCTTTTTAAGAATGACAATTACATAAAGATGTGGATTATATAAAAGTTGCTGGAGAAAACTACAGAATGCTTTGACTATGGTTTTGCTATCTTTATAAAATGAAAGGCCCAAGACTAGTTTAGGCCTTTTTACCCACAGATATTTTCAGAACTTCCAGTTACTCTATTATATTATTTATAAATTAAAACTCTTAGTTCTTATAAGGAAATGTAGTTATACTGTATATGTCCTAAAAGATAAAATAGAGAGTGTTAATTTCTTAAATAATTCAAGCTATGTCCTATTCTCTAAGTTGAATATTTACACAGCCTACCCTACATAATTTATGAATTATCCTAATTTCCTCCTTCAAATTAACTGCTACTGTTTCTCTCATGAAAAGTAATGCTATAAACTGTTGCTTAAACAAGTACATTTTATCCCATATTAAAATCTGAATGTGCTGACTCTCTACCCTTGTAAAGCCAAAATGACAAAAAAATTAATTTTCTGATGTCAAATGTACACAGAACTGTGAACAGATCAGTAGCAAAGAATATGAGTGTATTTAAAATTAATCAACATCTATATTTTGGCCTTATGTAACTATTGGGAAGCAATTGGGAATTACCAGATAGAGTAACTACATGAGGTTTCCACATCCAAGCACAAAATTCTCTTTTTTTGTGTGAAAATACTGTACAGGGGGTTACAATTACATGGGCAAGATAATGAGTACATTTCTTATCAAGCATTGTAGCCTCCTCCTTTGTTTCCCCTTCCCATCAAAGCACCAAATTCTTTTGTCTCACCCCACCACCACCCTACCACACTTTATTTTTGTGCCAGTACTAGTGTTTGAATTCAGGGTCTAGGCACTGTCCTTGAGCTTTTTTGCTCAAGGTTGCTTCTCTACCACTTGAACTACAGCTTCACTTCTAGCTTTTTTGGTGGTTTATTGGAGATAAGAGTCTCAGGGACTTTCCTGCCTGAGCTGGCTTTGAACCACAATCCTTAGATCTCAGCCTCCTAAGTAGCTAGGGTTACAGGTGTAAACCACTGATACCCTGCCTCTAAATTTTATGCACATTTTCCTCACTTTCTTTCACGCCTTTGGCTTCTCTATGGGCTGTGATTTACATAGGTTTGGGGGCCTGCTTGCTCCTCTTTAACAACAATGGCACTCCGTACCTGTGATGGCACATGGCAGCAGCTTGGCAAAGATTCACGTTATTCTGCTTCATCTGTGCAGCTTGTTTAAAATCCTGAAACAATGTTAATAGTTTAGATTAATGTTTTAGAATTACGTATATGCCTTCTTAAACTCCTCTCTTTCCACATGAAAATATCTAACACAAGCATTACAAGTATATCACATTAAATGTACATCATATATGTATGCATTAAACATATCCCTTATAGGGTCACATCTACTGAAAACTTATGGAAGTTTTCTGTTTAGGACTGGCCTATATCCACAATCCTCCCATGCTCAGCCTACCATGTAACTTGGGATGAAAGACACTTATAACTATTCCCATCTATGGGTTGAGAAGAAGTCAAACTTTTCTTTCCAGGTTAGTCTTAAACCACAAACCTCTGCCATAGGTAACCCATAATGGTGTTTCTTCACTATATCAAAAAGCCTAAAGGAATTCAGATGTTGAGATTGCACCCCATCATAATGTAAACGGCTCAAAAGATGCCTCCATATAGAGTAAGAGAATACCAGCCAACTTTGCAGATGGAGAGAATAGGAAATGCTCTGTTGTATAGGTTATACTGCTATGCCGCAGAAATGAAGATGCAAAACTCACTGCTTAACTAGAAACTGCTATTTAGTGTTGTCTTGTGTTTCTTAATTTTCCTTCTAAATTTCTGTGAAAAAAGTTAAAGTTGTACCTGAGAATTCTATAATGAAATAAATTTCAAAGGTACCTCTTTCTTTTCAGTGTGCATCATCCCTGTTCTGACCCATTTAAAAGCCTATTCTCTTGAGCTGGAGACATGGCTCAGGGCACCTGCCTGGCAAGCCCAAGGCCCTGAGTTCAACAATCAGGGGGCAGGAGGGTGTGCGGGGGAGGTGGGGTGGGGTGTAGGAAGCACATTCCAAGTAACTTATCCTAGGCAATATTCCCCTACCATGTTTGAAGCACATTTACTTTGACAATAATTTCAATGGGGAAAAAGAAATTTTAGAATGCAAAAGAGCATTGCCAAGCAGAGTACACGATATACAAATCATTTTATTTGCCAAACGATTGGATTTTATGTGTAGTTCCGTGGGTAGACAAATGTCTTTTTCATACATTGCTATTCATCTGTTTATCTTTTGCAAAGATTCTAGTAGTCACTGTAAGTATCTCAATACAATTGCTGCTAAAGTTATCACTCATGAACATTGCCATTGCAATAAAAACCTGGTCACTAGTTTCAAGAAGAGAATGTATACAATCACACGAATTTTCACACATCCACATTGAGCTCACCTCTAATGCAAAGCTGTACTTCTCTAGTTCTGTGTAAATGAGCCCACGATTAATGAAAGTATTGAATATCAGTGTTTCTCCAGCGTCGAGAAGAAGCACAATTCCATAATCTATTAATGCCTAAAATTAAAATAATTACAACATAGATATGACTCAATTTTTAATAGCTCAAAATATTCCAGCTTGACTTAACTTATATTTTTTTCTAAGACAATTTTTTTTCTTAGACACCTGTTTCAGATTCACATTATGTGTGTGGTCTTCACCTGACTTTGAGATAAGAAAGACACTATCATTCTCTGTTAAGTATTCTCCCAAAAATTTTCTGTTCTCCTTTCCTAGTAATATCACCTTTGCCTGATTCTTTTTTTAAAGATTTTATAAATCTGTTTTGGTAATTCTTTTTTTAAATAAGTTTTTTATTTTGAAAATACTGTACAGAGGGGCTACAATCATATGAGCAAGGTAATGAGTACATTTCTTATCAAGCATTGTTGCCTCCTCCTTTGTATTTCTCCTACCATCCCTTCCCTCCCACCCCCACAACTTTACAATGTATAGGGGGGGGTGGGGGAGGAGAGAAGGAAGTAGTTGTCTGATTCTTGTGATTTTATACATGGTTTCATCTGCATATCTATAGTTTCCTCACATAAAATCTTTTTTATACTATATCATCATATAGTAGCTTTTGAGCCCAGAATCTGATTTTCAATAATATGATTGAAATAAGAGTCCAAGAGTCATCAAAGTCCTTATCCTGCTTTAGTTCTCAGCAGTGAAAGCTAGCAATGAGTATACCATCCCTCTGCACCTCCCTCCCACTGCATTAGTCAGTGCAGCAGCCCCTCGAGCTAACTGCCCTCCTTCCTTCCTTCCTGTTACTTTTCTGTATTCTTCTGTGTGTGTGTGTGTGTGTGTGTGTGTGTGTGTGTGTGTGTGTGCGCACATGCACGCATGCGTGCACATGCCAGTAATGGGGCTTGAACTGAAAACCTGGGTGCAGTCCCTTTTTCGCTCAGAGTGCTCTATAACTTGAGCTACACCTTCACTTCTGGCTTGTTATTGGTTGATTGGAGATGAGAGTCTCATGTACTTTCCTGCCTGGACTGGCTTTAAACACATGTTCAGATCTCAGCCTCCTGAGTTGCTAGGATTATAGACATGAGCCACTGGCACCCAGCTTCTGTAACTCCTTTTAAATCCGCAAAGATTTTTAAATATCAAGTCCCTTCCCTCCATTGTCCAATCCATATTTCCAATCTTGGTCTCTTTGTAGAGGTTATATGTTTTTTGTAGAGGTCATCTGTCTTTTTATTTCTTCCACTTCAGTTCTCATACACATAGTCTCATCACCACCAGTACTTGGTATGTATTACTTCGGCACACAGCTAATCTTATACTCTTTATGTTGATTCCTATTTGTATTCCTTGGAATGTCATACTTTTCTAATCTGAGAGGTGAAGTGGTTGCTCACCTTTGAGGATTTCTTTTTGGTGGTACTGGAGTTTGAACTCAGGTCTTCACTTTTGCTAAGCAGGTGTTACTTTTTTGTATTCTTCTGTGTGTGTGTGTGTGTGTGTGTGTGTGTGTGTGCACGTGCCCGCATGCGTGCACATGCCAATAATGGGGCTTGAACTGAAAACCTGGGTGCAGTCCCTTTTTCACTCAGAGTGCTCTATAACTTGAGCTACACCTTCACTTCTGGCTTGTTATTGGTTGAGTCATGCCCTCAACCCCATGTTTCATTGCATATTTTAAAAATAGGGTCTTGCTTCCCACTCAAGCTTGACTTATGATCCACCTACTTAATTTAGGCTTTCTTTAGTCTCTAAAGGATGACAAACTAACACCACTGCCCCCAGTGTCCCTCCATAGAAATGGATTCTAGTGGAGTTTTCTGCCCAGAATGTCCTTGAATTGCAATCCTCCCATTCTCAGATTCACAGTTACCTAAGATGAAAGGTGTGATCCACTGGCATCTAGCTTGTCTTTCTCCCTCTTCTCTTCTCTTTTTTTTTGGTCAGTCATGGGGGCTGAACTCAGGGCCTGGGCGCTGTCCCTCAGCTCTTCAGCTCAAGGATAGCGCTCTACCACTTGAGCCTCAGCACCACTTCTGGCTTTTTCTGCTTCTGTGGTGCTGAGGAATAGAACTCAGAGCCTCTTGCATGCAATGCAAGCACTCTACCAGTGAGTCACCTTCCCAGACACTCTCTTATGTTTTTTAATCAGGGTCAATTATCAATTGCGTTGTGCTTTTTATTCTTTTGAATAATTTTCTTCTCTATACAGATATAACTTTAGGGAAATGTTCTGAGATTTCTTTCGGATGTACACTCACCTACATGGTTCAGAGGCTTAAAGTCATCAGCTAGAGCCATGTCTTTGTTCCAATTGAGATTCTTATTCCAAAAAATGCATATATAAAATACCTTAACCCAGATGATTTCTTTTTTTTCTTTTATTTAATTTTTATTTATTTTTTATTGTGAAAATACTGTACAGAGGGGTTACAATTACATGGGCAAGATAATGAGTACATTTCTTATCAAGCATTGTAGCCTCCTCCTTTGTTTCCCCTTCCCATCCCTTCCAAGCCTCCCCCCCCTCCCCCCCCCAATCATCCCCGCAACCCCCCCCCACCAAAGTTGTAAAGTTCGTTTTCAACATAACAACTTGTACTTCTCATTGTTGCAACAGGTCCACCTGTATCCTTATTTAAATGACTTGTTTTTCCCCTTCCCCTCCACAAATTATACCAACATCAAATACAGTGAAAGCAGGGGTTATACAAAGCAACAAAGAAATAATCTTATAAATGCATTAGAAACAATCGAATGAAAGAAAAAAACATTTGAATACATATCTTAGGGTTCATTTCCCTAACATCACCTTATCTGACCTTTTCTGCTTCACTCAGACATTTACTAGATATTGCAAATAAGGAAAACCATGGATCTATGTTTCTTTGGGCTTGGCTTACTTCACTTAATATAATTTTTTCCAAGCCTTTCCATTTCCTAACAAATGGAGCAATGTCATTCTTTCTGATGGAGGCATAGAATTCCATTGTGTATATATACCACATTTCCTTAATACTTCCCAAGGCTATCTACAAATTCAATGCGATACCTATCAAAATTCCAACCTCATTCTTCAAGGAAATAGAAGAAGCAATCCAAAAATTCATATGGAACCATAAAAGACCCCGAATAGCAAAAACACTCCTCAACGGAAAGAACACTGCTGGAGGAATATCAATACCAAATTTCAAACTCTACTATAAAGCCATAGTAATCAAAACAGCACAAGAACAGACCTCAGGACCAATGAATTGAAAACCCAGAAATGAACCTACAGACCTATAGCCATCTAATCTTCAATAAGGGAGCTAAAAACATAGAATGGAAGAAAGACAGCCTCTTCAGTAAATGGTGCTGGCAAAATTGGTTAACTACTTGTAGAAAACTAAAGCTAGATTCTTATATATCACCTTGCACCAGAATCAACTCCAAATGGATCAAAGACCTCGAAGTCAAAGCAGACACTCAGCAAACATTACAGTATGGAATAGGAGAAACCCTAGGTCTCCTTGGCACAGGCTGAAATTTCCTTAAAAGAGACCCAGAAACACAACAAATCAAAGAAATGTTGGACAAATGGGATTGCATGAAGTTGCAGAGCTTCTGCATGGCAAAGGACATAGCTAGCAAAATCAAAAAAAGCCCACGGATTGGGAGAAGATCTTCACTAGCCATACAACGGACAAGGGTCTCATATCTAAAATATACTTAGAACTCAAAAAATTAAATCTCCCAACAACAAATCCTCAAAGAAACAACTTCCCAATAAATAAGTGGGCTAAAGACTTAAAGAGAAACTTCTCTGAAGAGGAAAGAAGGATGGCCATCCCAGATGATTTCTGACATAAGGACCCATTATATAAGCACCTTCCAATGAAACTAGAGACTATTGATTGAATTAACAAAACGTTGTCTTTTTTTACTTTGTGCCAGTCCTGGCATTTGAACTCCAGGTCTTGCACTCTTACTTGGAATTTTGCTCATGACTGATGCTCTACAACTTGAGCTATGACTCTTCAGCAACTTTGCTGGTTAGAGCCAAGCATCTGGTCTGCCTAGGCTGGTTCTGAATAAACCTCTTTGATCTCAGCCTCCTGAGTAGTTAGGATTACAAGCATGAACTACCATTATTCAGCTTACTAAATTTTCAGTTCACAGTGTAGACTTCAAAGTGGTCAAGATGCACTGTATTCATAAACTGCTTCAGTGAACGGTAACTCCTCTGTACAACAACTTAAAGATAATAAAATCAGTTCCCCCAACAGTGGCTAACAATCCTATGTTATACTCCTAATGTATTTCTTTGGAAATATATAGAAAAGCCATCATTACCTTTAAGCTTAATAGATTTAGAAAAATATTTCCAATTTTTCAGTTTTGTGCATCTTATTTTTCTGTAACACTTACAAAGGAAACACACTCATTTACAGAAGACTGCTTATGAACATAGAGTCATAGTATATGCATGAATAGTACATCAATAAATGGGACTTGTTTCTATGAAACTTAAAAAATGTTTTCCAGTTTTACTTGGATTATGAAAAAGACCAATCAACACAGGTGCTCTAGTTCCTTTGACAAATGGATCTGTGTCCAGAACTACATGAGTCTAGCTACTGTGACTTAAAGTAGCCAGGTGCTGATGGCTCATGCCTGTTATCCTAGCTACTGAGCAGCAAGAGATCTAAGAATCACAGTTCAAAGCCAGAAAGTCTGTGACACTCTGATCTACAATAAACCACCTTCTCTTCCCCTCCAAAATAAAACACTTTAAAAAAAAAGCTGCAACTGGAATTGGGGCTCAAGTGGTAGAGTTATAGCCTTGCTGGGAGGGGAATGGGGGAGCAAGCTCAGGGACAGCATCAGACCTAAGTTCTAGTCCCAAGGTGGGCAAAGAAAGAGAAGAGAGAGAAGGAGGGAGGGAAGGAGAGGGAGAGAGAGAGAGAGAGAACAAGAGCACAAGTAATGGGAGCAACCCGCTTTTGTTCAAATATAGCATTCACAATTAGAAGCAACTCTTTGTACCTTACTTCATTAGTGCCAAAGGGAGGCTTCAGAGTCAGTTCTTTATTAATGTGATTTATATTTCAGGATCAAAATAATCATCTGTCTCTTTAGCCAAACAGTTGGGAAATTCCTACTTTGTAGTAAGTGGCAGCCACTGGGTTTGCAGTTCCTATGCTCTGTGAGTAGCCACATGCGTTTTCCTGTGAGTGGATGAATGGAAGGAATTGTGCATGATCCTCCCACTCAGTAATTTCTCCAAGTCATGGCTGACACCAACACAGAGCACTGATTGCTGTTTAAAATTTAATTGGTTTTAGTGGTTTATTGTCTTCTTCTCTGAAGATTAAGGCCCATGGAACCAGAGTTAATTGTGTTTACCAGTGTAAAATCATGAACAAGTATTATACCTGCACATAATAAGTATTCAGTAATGTGTGTGTGTATTGATACTGGGGCTTGAACTCAGGCCTGGGCACTGTCATATTTTTAGTGATTAACTGGAGATAAACATGTCACAGAATTTCTTTCCTGAGCTGGCTTTGAACCTCAGTGCTCAGGTATCAGCCTCCTGAATTGTTAGGATTACAGGTATAAGCCACTAACTCCTCACTTCAGAACATTTTAACAAATTGAATAAATCACAACTCAGTGAAAGTGTATATTGATGAAAACTAAAAATAAACACTTGTAGGAAAGTTACTTCTAAAGGATTTCTTTAAGTATACTCTATTTTTTAAAGCTCTTCACTAAGCTGAGGAAAAATCTACTCAAAAGACCTTTACTTTTAAATTTTCTATTCTTTCGCTGAATAAGCAAAGCTTACTGATCTTTCCACTACATCAGATACTGGAAGCATCCAAAATGTGGGTTGGAATCAAGTGTTCAAAACCACTTTCCTAGTAAATGTTTGTTTTTTTTTCTGAGAAAGTTGTGTGGTTTAATCATAAAAGTATTCAATCCTATATCTCTGACAAACCTACTGACTGAAAATGACAAATAACATTTTACTTCTTGCTTATTTGCTCACCTCTAGCATTTCTTTATTGGACACTCCAGTCTCTAAAAACATGAAATGAACTATCCCTTATATATGCTGTTACATAATTATATTTTTTAAATTGTCAAGGCTACAAAAATAACAATTCTTTTTTTAACAATTCTTAAAAAATAATAAAACCCAGAAATTATCTAACCCTTTCATAGAATTGCAGAATGGAAAGCATGTAAAATGTTTTAGAGGCTCACTAAGTAGCAGAATGAGTGATTCAAGAGGAAACAAACGCTCAGGAGTAGGACTTTGCGAAGGTCAATGGGGTGGAGAATGGATCACATCAGGTAGCCAGAGCTGTCCTTGAACCCCTGGCTATGTCATGTCTCTGCCCAGGATTACAGCCATACACTCGGATCAGGGGTTTTGATTAAAAGAATGAGGAGTTTGGCTCTTACTGGATTTGCATCATTCTCTGAAATTACTACTGGCTCCACAATTTAGCAGAATTAACTGACCCCTAAGGCCTGAGTCTTCATCTGCAAAACTGAGATATTAAAAATGCAATTTGTTGTAAGAATCCACTTAGAAATACTTTGATTGTATGCTAGGTAAAGCATTTAGGCCAGGCTTTGTCACATGATAAGCCTTAATAAAATATGAGTGGTATTGTTTTTATTAATATAGAATGTTAAAATCAGAAGCCATCTGTCTTTAGGTTTTCAGAAATAGCATCTTTGGAGAATGCTTGAGTATAACCTGGTTTTTATTTTGTTGTTTCTCAGCCTATTGGTGAGAGAAATGCTAAGAAAAGGTGAAGGAAAGCAAAAGGGAGGAGTTGACTCTATTAAATAACATCCTCCATAAGCTGGAACCAGATGGCTTTAAAAGGCCACCTAAAGACTGTTAACCCAAAAAAGATAGCAACCTACAAACACCAACACAGGTTTCCCCGTCCTTGTGTGACTCGGAGGAGTGGCATCACCCTTCCTTACTTCCATTTCCTCATCTGCAAAAGCAAACTGAATGCTTTGAAGTGCTGGCAGCTTTAAAATCACAGATAGTTTGTCACTAATTTGACCTTATTTAGTGACTTCTGTATTTTCTTACTCAGGAGGACAAAGTTCTTCTACATGTCTGAGATAACAAGCATGAAGGCTTCCTTCCCCGTCCAACCCATTGTTCTTGGCCCCCAGGATACCTTTCTGGCAGAAATGGGGGCTAGAAAAGAGAATCCTCAGAGACACCTGGTGTGAGGGTCTCCGATGAATGGTCCTTTCATTAGATCCTTGAATCCAACAGCTTCCTTGTTAAAAATCACTTACTCATTCGTCAACATTTCTCAAGGCAATTTGACAGTCTAGTTGGTAGGAACTTTACCCTCCTGGGTAAAAACAGTGTTTCTCAACTTCTTCCCCTGGATTTGTAATTTTTTTTTAATTTCTAAATATTTTGTTACAGATTTAACTAAATTCCATAAAGCCTGAGGAGTGCGTCGCCACCAAACAGCAAGAATGTGATGAAATCTTTTAAGAAATGTTCTATTACTGGAATTCCCCTTCACACTCTCCATTACGAGAGAGGGCAGACATGAGGAAGAGGAGGACAGTGAACATCAGAAGGAGAAACAAGAGGAGGGGAGAGAACACAAGAGCTTTGAGGAATTCTCAATGAAAAGCCAGCATACTGAGGAGGGGCGAGAAGATGAAGGTACAGTTAGGAAACATGAGAATTTGTACAGGCCAGTCCTAGTTCAAACTAAATGGAGAAAAGTACTTACTACAGCCATACAGTACACAGGAAGATTCCTGGCCAGAAATCCTTATGAATAGGCGTCATTATTCCTTGCTTCCCACTGAGTTTATAGTTTCAAGACTGCAAAAATTACCTGTCTGATCTGCTCTAGTTAATGCTGAAATTAGGGAGCAACCATATTGCTTATTGATCACTGCTATAAAACTCTATAGACAGTATAACAGTAACACACTGAGACAATATTTATGTCATGTATTTAATTTATACATGCTTTTAAATGTTCATATAAACATTATAAAATTAATTTTTCATTTGACTTACTACAGAAATTGTTTAAGCAAACTTGGCAAGCACTAACAAAGAAATCAATAAGATTGAAACAGTTCTTAGGTTTTATGTGTGTACTCTCATGAAAATTAACCTCCAAGCCTATAGCAAAGTTAATAAGAAAATACTTTTCAGAGGCTTTAACTGTGTTTTTATTACACATATTTTAAAATGTTATTATGAAATGTTATATGCTAATTGCTTATTGAATTCAAGAAACCATTGAATTATTCTGTTTGTTAAATGCTTTAAATTTGTTCTTTACTAAAACAGCCATCTTACCAGTTGGAGCTCTCCTATCCTGGTATAGCATAATGCTCTGTTATAAAATGCTATATAATTGTTTTTGTCCATGTTCACAGCCGTACTTAAATCTGTAATAGCTAGCTTGTAATTCTACAAAGAAACAGAAAATTGAGAAGAGTAAATCATAATGGGTTGACATTTAATTATAAAATAAATTTTGATCCTATCAGGTTTGAAACACTCATTTAAACATTCTGGGTTATCCTTTGTAAAATTATGAACGTCAAGCTAATCTTTCATGAGGCTACCATGATCATATTCCTGGTAAGAATTCTTATGATTGTTTTCATCCACAAATAAAATTAAAGATACCAACATTTTAAATTTATTTTTAATGTTTTTATCTTTAAGTAGTTGTGTGGAAGTTTCGATTCTGCTTATCAATTTGTAGGTATAATGCATTGTGATCAATGTCCCCTCTTCCATCATTCTTCCTAATTTAGGCTATTACCAAATAGTATATGGCTTGGAAATCAATTATACTGGTTGAGTTTTCTTTTATTTTTTCTGACATATCACATAGTCACATTGTTTTCTGGCCACACTCTCTTCAATGTCCTTTTTAATTATTCTCTGATACTTTATGTCACCTATTTTTCTTTCTTTTTATTATTATTTTTTATTGTAAAAATGTTGTACATAGGGGTTACAGTTACATGAGTAGGTAATGAGTACATTTCATAGTGAGCATTGTTACCTCCTCCTTTATTTTCCCCCTACCATTGCCCACCTCCCCATCTCCCCAACTCCTCCCACTCCCCCCACCCCAACACTGTACAGTTCATTTTCAATATAGTGTCCTGTACATCTCGTCGTCACAATGGGTCAGCCTGCATCCTCATTTAAGCATTCTGCAATATCCTTTCGCCTCCCCAAATTACAAAAATATATACACAAGGTGCAGAGCACCAGCATCAAATCCAGTGAAAACAGGGGTTATACTATGGGGGAAGAACATACAATAGCAATAAAAGAATCACATTGTGTATTGTAAGTACACTAAAAACACTAGCGAGAAAGAGAAAAGGGAAAGAAAATAAACCTCTTGTGTCCCTGTCTTGGGGTACATTTCGCTTAACATTATCTCATATGGTCATACATACATAGCCTTTGACCTACTCTGCTTTTCCTAGACATGTACTAGTCACTGCAAACAAGGGAAACCATGGGACCTATGTTTCTTTGGGCCTGGCTTACTTGAATTAATATGATTTTTTTCCAAGTCTTTCCATTTCCTAACAAAAGAAGCAATTTCATTTTTTCTGATGGAGGCATAGAATTCCATTGTATATATGTACCACATTTTCTTGATCCATGCATCCACTGAGGGGCAGCTGGGTTGGTTCCATGTCTTAACTATGGTAAATAATGCTACAATAAACATGGTTGTGCTGGTAGCTTTGGTATGACCTTCTTTGTGAACATTTGGGTAAATGACCAGAGTGGGTTTGCTGGGTCATCAGGGAGCTCTATGTGGAGTCTTTTGAGGAACCTCCATACTGCTTTCCAAAGTGGTTGAACAAGTTTACACTCCCACCAATGCAGTAGGGCTCCCTTTTGGCCACATCTTCTCCAGCATCTTGATGATAGCCATTCTAGCTGGGGAGAGTTGGAATCTCAGTGCTGTTTTGATTTACCTTTCTTTTATGGCTAGAGGGAGGTTGAGCATTTCTTCATGTGTCTATTGGCCATATTTATTTCCTCTTCAGAGAAGTCTCTCTTTAAATCTTTAGCCCATTTGTTAATTGGGCAGTTGTTTCTTTGAGGATTTGTTGTTGAGGGATTTAGTTTTTTGAGTTCTAAGTATATTTTAGATATAAGACCCTTGTCCGTTGTATGGCTAGTGAAGATCTTCTCCCAATCTGTGGGCTTTCTGTTGATCTTGCTAGCTATGTCCTTTGCCTTGCAGAAACTTTGCAGCTTCACGCAGTCCCATTTGTCCAACTTTTCTTTGATTTGTTGTGCTTCTGGGTCTCTATTAAGAAAACTTCGGCTTGTGCCAAGGAGTCCTAGAGTTTCTCTATTCCTTCCTGTAATGTTTTCATGGAGTCTGCTTTTATTTTGAGGTCTTTGATCTATTTGGAGTTGATTCTGATGCAGGATGATACATATGGATCTAGTTTTAGTTTTCTACAAGTGTTTAACTAATTTTTCCAGCACCATTTACTGAAAAGGCTGTCTTTCTTCCATTCTGTTTCTTTAGCTCCCTTGTCAAAGATTAGGTGGCTATAGGTCTGTGGGTTCATTTCTGGGTCTTCAATCCTATTCCATTAGTCCTCAGGTCTGTTCTTGTGCCAGTACCAAACTATTTTGATTACTATGGCTTTGTAGTAGAGTTTGAAGTCTGGAATTTATATCCTTCCAGTGCTGTTCTTTCTACTAAGGATTGTTTTTGCCAGGTGCCAGTGGCTCATGCCTGTAATCCTAGCTACTCAGGAGGCTGAGATCTGAGGACTGCAGTTCAAAGTCAGCCCAGGCAGGAAAATCTGTGAGACTCTTATCTCCAATAAACCACTAGAAAACCAGAAGTGGCGCTGTGGCTCAAGCGATAGAGCACTCGCTTTGAGCTGAAGAGCGCAGGGACAGCACCCAGGCCCGGAGTTCAAGCCCCATGACTGACACCCCCCCCCAAAAAAAGGATTGTTTTTGCTATTCGAGGTCTTTTATTGTTCCATGTGAATTTTTGGATTGCTTCTTCTATTTCCTTGAAGAATGAGGCTGGAATGTTGATAGGTATGGCACTGAATTTGTAGATAGCCTTTGACAGTATTGCCATTTTCTCAATATTAGTCCTCCCAATCCAGGAGTATGGGAGGTTTTTCCACTTGAAGAGGAGTGGGGAGAGTGGACATCCTTGTCTCGTTCCTGAATTTAGAGGAAATGGCTTTACCTTTTACCATTAAGTATAATGCTGGCTTGTAGGTTTGTCATATACAGCCTTTATTAAATTGTGGAATGTTCTTGCTTGCTTGCTTGCTTTTTTTTTCTGGTCAATCATGGGGCTTGAACTCTGGGCCTAGGCGCTGTCCCTCAGCAATTCAACTCAAGGCTGGAGCTCTACCACTTGAGCCACACCATCACTTCCTGTCATCTATTTTCATATGTAGTAATTTTCATAAAATTAATACATAATACATAATTCAAATCTTTGCTTTAGGGTACTATTTGCAAAATATTTTATATAAAGCAGCTACAAAAAACACATTTTAAAAAAGGAAAGAGAATATTCCACATAGCTCCAGATGTTGAACACTGTTCTCATCTTTAGCCCTGTAATTCAGACACCAATTATAAACTTGAGCAATGATTTTGTTCTCAACCGTGCATAACTATATTGCTTGAAATAGAAAAATTTAAAACATACCAAGTGCCCAAGAATTCTATGGTTAAAAACAAATAACAAATAAAAATTGCCATGGAATATTATGCTATCACATAAATGACACTTGCAGCAATTAAGTATAAAAAAATCAACAAAGAGCATGGTGTATATTATCAGGAAAACAAAAAGCAAGCTTTGTCCTTCCATATTTATAATGTAATGCTTTGTTAATAAAAAATAAATGACAATTTTTTAAAGGTAAATGTCTAAAGTATTCTTATGCCCAGCACTGTTGGCTCATTCCTGAAATCTTCACTGCTCACTAGGCCAAGATCTCAGGTTTGTGGTTCAAAGTCAGTCTACGAATAAATGTCCATGAGACTCTTTTTTTTTTTT